ATTTGAGCACGTGTCTTACTAATGTATGTCCTAATGTCCTTAGTACAGCAGACAGGAATCTAACCTTTATGCCTTTTTTTCCCCAGTATCCTAACAAATAATATTCCATATACTCATTAAGCTTTACAGTACTGCTGCTTGCAGTATCCCTTGAATCTTCGTGTGAGCATTTCCCATGGTCAAGGCCCTGATTTTGGATGTAGATTGTTGCTGTGTTTTGCCAGCTGGTGGTAAACGATCGGCTTTGCACCACTTGTTTTTGGAAAGCCCCTTTTCAGCAGAGCTTCCTGAAAAGCACCGTCCTGTCTGTTCGAAGTGCCTCCTGCTTCTTTCTCAAACTCACGTGGATGCAGTGAGAATGTGAGAGCCATCAGGGCTGGGAAAGCCTGTTTAATTCTGATCCAAATTCTTTGGTTGGTTTTTCTGCCAATCTGCTGAAGCAAGATTACTTCTGACTTCAGACTCTCTTAAAAAGATACAGGAAGAGGTTGCCTTGATTTTTAATCCAAGTTTATTTGTGATCATATGTGTATTTTTTTCCTTTTATTTAGGATATCTAACAGCAAGCTCTGTTTCTGTTTGAAACTATCTATCTTGAATGTGCTTTTTCCTTCTGTCTGTCCTAGGGCTGCTCCCATGGGCTGAGACGCTCCCCAGTGGCTTAAGACACGAGCACGCTCAGGTGCGCAAAGGAAGCTTGCTGAGGGTTTCTGTACCTTTTCAAACCTGCAGCCAAACAGGGACAACCAAAACAGACTCAAATCCATGTATGCCCCAACAGCTCCTCGCACATGCTTACGTGGGCAGAGCAAACAGGAGGGGCGGCCCTCCAGAGCAGCCTCGTGGGCTGAAAATCACCACAGTCTCCATACCTAGTGTGCCCAGACCATTCCAGGCGAAAGCCTGGCAAGGAGTCCCTGCACATTTGGCAGAGAAGGAATTCCTCTTTGCGAGGAGTGGCGCAGGGTCAGGGGGCAGCTGAGGCAACCCTACTGGCTTTTCCTGTGGTGTTGAGAGGTGCTAAGTGGGTCTCCTGCTCCTCCCCAGCCTCATGTGGTGGGACTGGGTGTGGAATAGCCATTGCCTCCCCGTGACTGCTGCATTAGTGCAAATGCAGCCAGTATTACAAAAATCTAGGTTAACCATCCTGACCCCGTGGAGTCATCTGCTGCTTTTCAGACGGAGATCAGAAAGGTCAGCTGCATTATTGAGAGGGAAAGCATTGTAAATAGCACAGCCCCGTGTAATCTCTTCCCTTTAATGCTGTTGTGTAATATTGTCAGTATTCATTCACTGGCACACGGAGGCCTGCCTGGAGTAAACTGCTAAGGGAATTTAGAGCCATAAAGCATCTTCATTCATCAGCATTGCTTATCTCCTGGCCGCAGCTTGAACCCTACAGTGTCGCTCTCTGCGGATGTCACCTGCTGTTACTCAGCTTGACTGTTTGCAAATCTCTTCCTGCAACAGACTGACCCAGCTAAGAGGAAATCTAAGCATTTGAGGTGAACCCCACCGTCCTCCCAGCATGTCAGCAAACAGCACATTTCAGTCTGATCTACAGCTCCTTGTCATGGGTCAGTCCAGCACACTCAGTCCTTAGCTGGCAGTTCTTCAGAGGAGCCCCCCGCCCCCTGAGCTTCCCTTTGCTTTGAGGAAAATTGTGATAAAGTAACCTTTATTTAAAAGTTACAATTTTGATTATCTCTTTCTTCCCCTCTAGAAACGAGTAGTCTTCAGTTTCCTGAAAGTGGCTGAGTTGCTTTTCTGTGTGCTTTTTCATCATGGCTCACTTTGTTATCCTGCTCCACCATCAGCTGCTGGATATTGGCAGAAAAGGATCTTTTAAGTGTTATTGGGAGGCCTGCCCTCTCCTCGCCACTGGCCATCAGAGGTGCAGTTTCTGGCAGCAGAGGTCTCTGGGTGGCTGTAGCTGGGACGGCAGAAACATGTGCAGCCCAAGTGGGCTGTTGTTCCCTCGCTGTCCCCTCACCTGGAGCGGGCTGGCTGGGATGCATCCTGGCCAGCCACACTGGCTCTGTCCCAGTGCTGCAACGGCTTCAGCCTTCCCAGGAACGCGAGGCAGAGCCCTCAGCATACAAAGTCAGGGAGAGTCCTGGCTGGCTCGGAGGTTCACCAGCGAAGGCTCTCAATCTTCAAAATCTCTCTCCCGCTCTGCATTCCTCCTTTTAATCCATATTACTTGAATGAGACCATTTTCCTGGAGGCTCTTTCCTGCTGGGAAGAGACAAGCTGCTGTGGACACTGATTTAACACAATTCTGAGTTTCATAAACCCTGAGAAACACTAAGCGGTTTCTGACAGTCTGTTAAATACCTTTTCTTGGGATTAAAACTGTTCCCTCAACCCCAGCGAGGGCAATCTTCACTTTGAAAGGGAGCAAACAAGAAGTGGGAATCATGTGACTGTCTGGCACTGCCTTTGTGGACCTTCTTCTTGTCTCTTTGCACTGTAAAACTGTGAGGTTTGATCCATTCTTCTCCTTTCCAGGGGTACAGTCTTTGAAAAGCACCCAGTCTTTGGCCCAGGGACATTACAGAGGGAATGAAGCACCCCAGTGGTGTAGTGTCCCTGGCCCCAGCAGTATCAGCTCCTTTGCTTGCTAAGTACAGAGGCTTTCTTTTCACACTGCTGTATTCAAACACCCCTCTGCAATTCCCGTCTATGGCCACTTGAGGTTACCCATATGGTCCGATTACTTTCGCTCTCTTTTCTTTCTGTAGTTATCACCCTCTTGGAGATCCTTTGGCTCCTTATTTGGACATATAGAAGATATAGCACATTTATTTCAGCTTTGTATTTCTTTCTGTAGATAGATCCTCCTCACACAGAACTCCCAACGAAGTCAAAGAAGCAATGCTAATTGCAACTGGTTTTTAGATGCTAGTAATGCTTCTGGGCTGTGCCAGTCACACTGATGTCAGCAGGGTGAAGCTGGTGTAGAAATGGCGGGTTGAGAAGACCAAAGCCAGAGGATTTTAACAGCTTTACTCCTACTCTACCAAGAAAATTGTATTCGTTCTTAATACCTGGCTTCTTACTGCTCCATACTGAGGCAACTGTAAGACTGATTGGTTTAAGAATTAGTCTAACGTGGCTTTTAAGTAGATTGCTGAAGATTTCCTGTTGTAATCAGTGGAGGTAATTGATATATTTTTACACAAATACATAAAATTCCCAGAACAAACTTTGCAGAATTTTGTAGTGGCTTTTCAAAGTTTTCCGGTCCTGTAGTTTGACACTAACACCTGTATATTTTCAGCTTGCTGTCATGGTAATTTGGGGAGCTGTTCTGGAAGAAGGAGATCAAAGCAAACAGCAACTGTAAAGCTCAGTGGCAGGCGCGTCTTCTCTTTGCTTGGTTTCTGGATACAGACAGGGGCTCTTTTAAGCAGAGGCATCATAACTGCGTTCTTGAAGAGAATGGGAAGTTGCTGACTTCTCATGACAGAAGTCCTCCTGGGTACTTCTCCTTCCTTCTATCCATGCTTGCTCCTTTTGTGGCCTTGGGTAAGTCACTTAAATCTTCGGGGGCCAGGTCCTGCTCTGGTGTAAAAAGGCACAAGTGTATGAGGGCCAGTGCTATGCCAAGTTACAACAGCAGGGGACCAGGCCTTCACCCCATTTCTAAAATGGGGATATTAGCACTTAACTACCTCACAAGGATGCTGTGAGGATTAATGCTTATACAGCGCTTTGAAGATGTAAAGTGCCATATGAGTCCCAAGTATTATCCTACCTTAGTGTTAAAAATGCTTTTAGGGATCTGCAGGACTTCTGTTAAAGCATGGAATGTGTGACTGCCTTTTCAATTTGCATCAGATGGAAAGCAAATGCAAAATATTTATTTATACTGGTTAACAGGATGGGCTCAGCTGCGCTTGAACTCTGAGAAGGGTTTAGCTTAAAAGTCTGAACTCTAATTTCAGTTTTGCAGATGGTTTTTAGTTCTTCTAAAAGCCTCAACCAAATTCTTAGACTTGAACCTTGCATCCAAATTTTGCAGTTTGGTCTTATCCCTGACTGTTAGCTAGAATAAATCTAATCCAGCCAAAACACAGTGCTGTCACAGTCTGCTATGACTGGAACAGAAAATGAAGTTATTCTGTTCAACCTTCATTCTGGAGAAGGTCAGCTAGGTTTCATGGGACAGCTTGCAAAGGGATGTTTACTTTCTCTGAATGTAAGTTTTACTGGCTTTAAAATCAGCAGAGAAGGAAGGCCTTGATAGAATCAATAAGGACAGCACATCATTCTTGAGCACATCAATAAGGACAGCACATCATCCTTTTCACCTAAATCAAAGAAATAGCAGGTTCTGTAGCGAAGGAAGTGCTTGTACCACCAGTCCTAGGGCCCAGAACAAAAGTTGATCTAGAAATACAGCTCTAAACCATCACCATGTTCTCAACTAGTATAAAAATGTCATTGTTCACTGATTTCAAATCTGGACCACAGCTAGAAACTTCTTAGTTCTGGTAGCACTAGCTGCTGTACAAACACAAATGAAGGCAAGGAATTACACACCAAGGAACATGAGCTGTGTATATGTGAAATGGACCATAATTTTGAAGCAGCTGCAGTAAAATCTTATCTTAATATGAACTCAGAAGCAAACACAATGCAAATTTTTATGGTTTCTTTAAAATGTTTGATGGGTTTTAGTTTTCTTAGTTTGAAGGAAAATTTTCTTAATGTTATTTTATTTTTGCTCTTATTGTAAAGAATAAAAATATACAACTCTAGATAGACTACAAATGAAAAAAGGTAGCCAGTTGGCAGGAATGGCAAAACTTCTGTGGCTTGTATTGTTTCTGTGGTGACACTATGCTGCTGTAGGATGAGCTACTGGAGTGGTGTGACAGCTCAACAGTGAGGCTGAAGCACAAGGCCAGTATCATATAAGAGGGATGCAGGGGCCGAGCCACTGAGACTGCAGTGGGAGCACGACTGGGCCAATTCGGATCAGTCAAAAGACAGAGGCAGCATCAGGAAATAAAAGAAACCTTTTCCTGACAGATAAAAAGCAAGAAACCAAAGCCAGCCCGTTGGGCGATGGTGCTGAATCGGTACAAACACACGTATCTAGACCTTGCTTGTGCAGGATCCTGCTGGACCAAGCCTTGCTCCCAGTTCACCTGGGGAGGCTTGCTCCAAGCCTACGGTGCTGGCAGGGTCAGGGCAGCAGAACCTGACGCTTTGTTAAATAAATCTCCAAAAACTAGAAAACAACAAAAAAAAAAACCAAACGGGGAAGGAAAAAGCAATGCAATTGGGTAAGCAGTAGTTCTGCCTGGCTGAGGCTGCAGACTGGCTGGTCTGTCCTGAACACTAATCTCCATGTCTTGTACCCATGTGAGCCTCTCGCTCCAGCCCCTCTCCCACGCATTCCAGGCAGAGTGCACTGAAAGATGTGACCGAAGCAGCTGCTCTCCCCCGGGGAGTCAAGCATTTTGCCACGTCTGAAAGTCTCTAGCACTTACTTCCTTTACTGTGACTGTAAAGGTCACCACGTGCAGTACAGCCGCTTGATCTGGGATCTTTTCTTAACACATTTTTATGCTGATTTTACTATTTTAATTCTTTGTTTGGAATGTATTTTTTTCTTGTTTCTTCTCTGTGTAACAGCAATTAAAAATATTAATTTACTGGGTATTTTTACTGTGCAGATACAATGCCTCCTTGCTCATTTTCTGTTTTTGTGACAGCTTCAGCACGGAGTAGGTAGCCAACTGAACCTCTGTGGCGGGCAGTTTTGTGCCACTGTTATGCCCATCAGTCGTGTGGCTCTGCCCTGGAGCTATGCAGCACCCCACACAAGCCAAGTAACACTAACAGCTGGCTGCAGTTTTCCTGTCTTGGGAACCCTGAAACACAGCCACAGAGCACATTCAACACAAACCGATCCAACACCGTGATGATGGCACGTGGCTCGTCTTACAACACGCCCCTGGTGCACCTGGGATGCGGAGCCCTGATGCACGCTCGCCCCTTGCTGCTACAGCCAATCCCGCATACAATGGCCATTTGTCCACACTTCCAGGGAGAAGGCAGCTTGCTGCAAAAGATTGCTCTGGGAAGGCTGCTCGCTGCCCAGAAATCCCAGACAAATGGCCAAATCTCTCTTCTCCCCCCGCCCCAGCAAAATTTCCAGGAGGAAAAAGTAGGGTAGTATGGACATTTTTCTCTGGTTAGAGATCTGATGCCAGTTTCTTCAGCTGTTTGATGCAGTGGCACAGATATTTGGTTTCATTAATCCCGAACCAGGCCATCTGTCACCAGTGGAACAGGTTTCAAGGATTTATAGCATAGAAACACAGAGTGTGTAACTGCTCCTAGTCCATTAAATGGATCTGCTCGCAGGCTTAACAGAGACTCCTTCATACTCCCCCTTCCGAAGTGGAGTGGTTCCTGATGTGGGAATGAATCAGTACCAGGCAGAAATACCACCAAATTCTTTTCAAAGCAGCCTACAGGGGTTAACAGCAGGCAAAAGTGGGTGCTTCTTTCTTTAATTTGGTCTTTTACAATTCCTTTCAAAAACTTAGAGGCCTGCTGGGAGGAGCATCCTATTTCCTCACACCTTCTTCCTAGCTCCAGATGGAACAAAGGTGGCAAAATATTCTCAGACTGAGTGGGTGTCTGTGGCTGGCCACTGCTCTGCTTTATTCCACAACTGGCTCCTGGAAGAATTCACTCTAATTAGAAGAACCAGCACCAATGTGTGTATAATATATATATATATATGCATATTTATCTATCTGTCAACCTGTTCATCCTGCAATGGTTCAGATATTCTGTAATTCCTTCTGAAGTCTTGGCTGCCAGCAGTGAAATTCCTGGACCCTTCTGGATCTCAAGTTTTACCTTCTATGGCCAGTTCTTTCACAAAGTGACTCCCTCACTTGCAAAGCTGCAGACTGTATTTAATTTCTTCATATTGCAAGGATTTAAGTACTTCACATTTATGGCTTACTCTATGTTTATATACAATCTGACATAATGAAGCCTAGATCATCATGGAGGTCCTGTTGGGCTGTCTGGGGACATGGAGACAGAACCTGAGCCTCCTCTTGAACTCAAAAGCAGGATTCTCATTGACCAGTGCGGAAGCAAACTGATACATAGAAGAGAAAACCGCAATCTTTGGCTCCTTTTATTACCATTAAGATACATTAGCAGATGGTATTATAAATATCACCTTTAACATGCACCCTGCTGTCTAAAACCACTTAGAGGGAAGGAAGACGGAAACATCAGAAGTGTCCCTGCTGAGCAGAAGCCCCACTACCACCTGGTTTAACTGACCATGACAGAAGCCAAGGGCGGCTGCGTTTTGAGCCACACAAAGACAAACTACAGAGCCACAACAATGTTGTTCTGCAGGCTGGACCAGGCAGAGCTAGTACCACTAATTACAGCTTGTGTTTTGACTTCTGCAAACTTTCTGTCACTGTGTCCAGGAGGCTTTTATCATCTTTTTCTTAAGAAAAAAAAAAAAAAAAGGAGTAAGTGCCATAATTACTGCAACCAACCCTATGTTTTGTTGTCTGATCACAGTTTTTTTAGGAAGTAAATGGTCCAAATTTAGGGAGTTCTCATTTTCATTCTCATTTCCCCTTGTTCAGTTCATCACTGTTCCAAATAATTCACTTTGGGTCTAACAGGCTTGGTATTCTCTGCAACCTGCCACCTCCCAGTCTAAGGAAAATTATATTCACCCCTTCTGAGCTACAACAGCAGGAAAGATGCTGCTGTGTGTCACAGAGGTGGAACAATGCCCTATTTGTTTTTGCAAATATTAAGAAAAAGGCTGAAACTGCAAACATGGCTGAGCAGCAAAATGCAAGTGTCCGTCCTTAAAGGAGAGAGACAGAAGAGCATACATTAAGAGGAATGGAGACAGATATTTGAGAAACAGAGGTTTAGCTCCCATGGAATCAGCATCTACGACTCCTGCACAGCTATTTGAATCAGCAGATTTGCTCATCCCTTAGATCACTCCTTACTCCTTTCCCTTTTCTTTAGGGCAGCCTGTCACCAGGTAAAGAGCATTCAAAGTCTCTAGAAACAGTCCTTAAAGAAAGTCTTCCAAGTCCTGGTCTGAAGGAGCTCCCAGGCTAACAAAGAGCGCTTTCACACGAGGTACAACGTCCTAAAACACCTGACTCCATGCAGTAACTACCCCCCTTCCAGAACTAAAATCAGCAAGAATATAGTTCCTGAGATCTAAAATAAACCTGCGGTTAAGCTCAATTTGAAGTGAATTCCTTATCTCCTAAAGTCAGTTTTACAGTCTCGTATTCTGACTCCTGCTTTCCCGCTTCACTCAGCTGCAAACAGCCCTGGCAGCAGAGAGACCCTCCCAAGAGACTGCCCAGATCAAGGCAAGGAGGAGCCTGAGGAGGCTTCAGAAATAGGCTCCAGTTAAGTAATCTGAACATAAATTAGTACCTCACTCACACAGTGCTTTTGCAAGCCTTGTTCCTTAGCCAGCTCTGCTTGTAAACAGCCTGCTTTGAATAACTTTGAAGAGGTATGTTCCTATTGTAACAGTCCTCACCTCAACAAGCTCTGTGTGGGAAGGCAGAAGGTAAGCCCTCCCCAGCAATCAGATCTCTGAGAGGACAGAAAGCTGTTCTTGTGCCACTCAGGCCTGCCTGCCCTCCCTGAACATAGACGAGCAGCGCTGCCAAGGCTCCTTGTGCATCAGCCTGCCTGGCAGTGGCGCCAGGCCAGGGAAAGCTCCCACTGATTTTAGGGATTAGGAAACTGTCCTCCAGCTGTGGCTTGAAATTGCGGCTTCAGAGAGGAGTGTATCAGGGAGTGCGGGAAGTGGGAGACCCAGTAACACCAGGAATCCTTAAAAAATGGTAAAGAACTGCTTTCAGTCTTTTAGGTGGGCAGTGGCTGGTTTCAGTGAAAGAAGTGTTGCGTGTATCCTACACACACAGACAGATGAGTTTGCTTGAAAATCAGGGCAGGAAACCCGGCATGCACATCCTTTCCCTCCACGGACCCACACTGAGCTACTTCTGCATTAGCAGAGAGAACCAAACCCTGGGAGGGGCTCAGCAGGCTGTCCAGAAGCAGTGATCACAGACAAAAATAACCTTAAAAGATCTTTCCAAATATAGTCCCTCATTATTGGTGCTGTATCAGTTTCATTTCAAGCTGTGCCTGGGAGTGTCTCTCTCTTGTTCCCTTTAAGAGAACACCAACAGGTCCTGAGGCACCAGGGCCTTTCCCTAGAAAGGCAGAATGGGGGAAACATACTTCAGTGTCATAACAGACAAAAGGATGGAGAATTCTTGCTCTCAAATGTTTAACCTTGAAGGCTCCCTAGTAAATCAATCATAAGCAGGTTGAGCTTACCAGGGGCTGACGAAACTCACAGGACCCAGCTGTTTCACGGCACTGCTGTACACATTGTAAGACCACTCTGCAAGCTTTAAGTTTGGGCATGGTGACATGGGAAAACCATGTGTGGGTCACTGTTAGTAAATCCTCACCCCATGCACCTCGAAGCGTTCAGTCTCACAGGGCCAATTTGAGCGAGCTGGAACCAAGCTGTGTGTTACAACCTGATTTAAAACTTCACTGGGTGCTTCCAGCATGGAAAAAAACAGAGAAGCGAGAGGGGAATATGAAATGTCTGATTTTCTTCCTTTTTGTGTCTTGGAAATTTTTACTAGCTTTCATAAAATGTTGGCAAAATCCTGCTATTTCACAAAGGAAGAGAACAGATTTACCCAGTGTAGTGTCTGTGATATCTAAAAAAAAAGGCACAAAACTGTTGTCAGAATGCATCAGTTGACAGCTTGGAGGTGCTAAGTATGCCACAGGTGCAGAGCAAGCCTGGGTAGGGACTGAGAAATGGCCATACTTGTTTTTGAGCCATCTAGGGAATTCATGAGACCTGCAAGCCGAAATATGCCATTTTAATACTGCCTTCAAGCAACTGAACACAAATCTCAGTGACTTCAGAGGAAGACAATGCAATGTCAGAGTTAGGCTGTTTTTTGGATATGAAGGTAAGTTCTTACAACGTGGCCCTTGCAGCTTCAGCTGCAGTACCTATAGACTGAGCAATCTCTTCCTCTGTGGGCAAGGATGAGAGCCAAACTGGCCCAGAGAAGCGTGATCCACAGTGCCAGTCCCAGTAAATGCACTTGCCCTGGAAAATAGCAGGGTGTAAACTATACTCAGAGACATGAAATCTGTGGTTACTCAACGTGGTGGGAATCACCCCCAACAAATCACAGTGGCTGCAAACCTGACTTACCACAGATGATCAGCTTGCAGCTGCAAGTTGTAGGGATCATAAGCAGACAGATGCTATTTGCTGAGTTGAACTACAACTTAGACTTGGATGTGATGCTGACGTTGCCCGTGTACAGGGTCACTGCTGGGTGGGGGTTGCTGATGAAAGCACAGTTCATGGTGCAGTTGTTGCCATGACTCATGCTGTGGTTCTTCAGTGGGGCCATAAAACAGGAAGCTCAGTTCTTCCTGGGATACCGTCTTGAAGTCAAAACACTCTGCTGAGGACAGAGTCACTAAGGGCTGCCTCGCACTGCACTGTCTCTTGCACACGCAAACATGCAAACACAGAGCCAGCACCAGCAAGACAGAGAGTCTTCTCCTGCATGAGTACAAATCCAAAGAGCTTGGGTATGACATTTCATGACCTGGGCCTTCTTTCCCACCAAGGAAAACTCAGGGAGGAGGAAGAACGAACAATACCCGCATTACGCTCAGCATCTGACCAGCATACCTATCTCAACATGTAAACAAATACAAACTGAAAAGCAAGACAGGAAGGAATCAGAAATCTCATTCTCCCATTAATCTGCTATGCAACTGTAAGCAAGCAATTAATTTCTTTGTTTCTTGGTCTGTAAATAAAGTGTCAGGTTTTTGCTCCATGGGAATATATCGATGCCTTCTCTCACTAATGCCATTAAATTGTAAAGTGCTTTTGGATATTTGGCTCCCAAGGCACTTTAGAAATGCATGATTAAATTACACCCAATTATAAACCGAAGCAGGTGATCTTGTAAAGGAAGGGATTTTGCTCTGCTTGTATTGCTCTGAGATATTAATAGTCTACAGTCTGCTCTGGGGGAATCAAGGGGAACTGCACGTGCAATTTAATTTCCAGTGTCCACTGAAAATCTTCCATTTTCAGCCTGTATTTAAACACAATTCTTGAAGTCTTTATTATCTCCTTTTGCATTGGCAGGGGTCCCATCAGGTAAATCCCCTGGATGCTAAATGTAGCACTGTATGGCAAAATTCTCTTATGAGACCTCATTCTCAGAAAACAGCTTATCTCCTCCTTATCCTTCAGAGTTTTTCTACCATCTCTCACGTTTGTGCAAATAAACCTTGTGACTTGCCATTTATAATGAAGAATGGGAAATCGGTTCATATCTGCTTGTGTCCTGCTGTCCTGCCTGAAGACAGGTAGGCTGTTATCAAAGGAATGTTCAAGGGAATGCACTGCAAGGCACAACCAACCTAGCTTTCCTCCATTCACTACTCTTCTATACTCGCCTACATACACAGAAGTTACTGAAGTTATTTCAGACTCTATAAAATCCAGGCCTGGAGTACTTCCATACAAGAACACAACTGCAGTCACATAACTCTAAGTGCTCTTTCTCAGCTGCACATGTAGCTATGGTCTAGTTACGTCAATCAAGGAAGGCTGACTGTTAAATACAAATACACAATTTGACACCTGATTACTCATTTTAGTGTACTACTTATTCTGTTATTACTACTTATTCTGCTCATTACTCTTAATGGGATTAGAAGACTTGTAGCAGCATGTGGATAGGCTTCTGAAGAAATATATGCATAGTCTGGTAATATATATCAATATAAAGTTTGTTTTGTATTACTATATATATACACTATATATACAACAGGCACAGGCCAAGCAAAAAAAACTGGCTTGGATCTCACTATTCAGAGTAACTGCATTCTGCTTTGCCTGACTGGGCAGAAGGATCACTTACCATTTTGATTTGATGAGCTGGGGCATGTTCAGTTTTGTTTGAAAGTACTGCTAATGAGACAACCTTATTAGTGATTAGGCCTGAGCAGGGAGCAACTGAACAAGGGAGAAGGTGTTTACCTGACAGGTGGCCTCTGAGTATTTAATTTAATGTGCTTTTAGGGACTTCTTATAGCTTCTGGCCCAGAAAGACTGTCACAGAGTCTCCTACATGTGACAGATTTATTTGCTTTTCATTTAGGAAACAAATCCCAGTCAGACTGGAAATGTGCTACAAGACAAATGACTTGTAACGCCAGTCTTCTGTTATATCACCCTCCCTGCGCATGGATGGCCCCTACTGTCTTGAATTTTAATTCAAACAGCATCTGTATGAACTGCTATGTAATGTGCTACACATACACGTTGTAAAAGGAAGCCTGGTCCTGAGAGATTGCCAACAATTGGATGGGATAGGACAGGAGGTATTCCTGTGTTTATTCCCCAGGCGGGGACCTGAGGTGCAGAATAGGTTAGTGATATACCCATGGCCACAGAGGGAACCTGAGCTTAGTCCACAGTCTTGTGTACAAGAGTACCCATCTTCCTCCAGTGCTGTCATGAATTTTTATGCTTACCTCTGTCTTTGGAGATGTACCACTGCTCCTGTGAATCCAGAGGGTCAGTGTCCCCAGTGTCACTGCAGACAATGACTCAGAAGAATTACTTCCTCCCTGGGAGCAGGCCTCTGACAGTATACGTGTTGCTGTAGACCTTTTCTGCGGCTGTGAACCACGTGGCAGTACTGACATCACATTTCAGGACACCATGATCAGTCTGCTAGTCATCTTCTACATCTGAGCTATGATTTAGGGTCACAGTGTTTGGAACTTCTTCAACCAGCTGCAGATTAGAAGGTGGTCAGGGGAAATGTAAGAATTAATGAGCACATTTAAGTACTGGTTTCTTCTGTTTGGGACCCTCCCTCTGTCCTTTTCTGGGACAAAAATTTTTCACTTCAGCTCCTCCCATCCAAAGTCCCTGTGTGTCTAGGAAAGTACTTCTTTCCTTGATTTTTTCTACCCTGAGCAACCTGAGGACCAATTTGCCCTGTGCATGTAATTCCCTTCTGATGTAAAAATAAGGCTGTTTGCTTTTTAAAAAGCACTCTCTGAAGAGATGACAAGTACAAAACACACTGCAAAGGTCCCTAACCCCCAGCAGATCATTAGAGTAATAGGAGTCTCTCTAAAGAGCAAACCAGCCTGCCTCCACTTGGCTGTGATAGACCCACTTGCAATGGAAATGATGTCACCAGACTGCTGAGGGGACACGACACTGTTGTGTTAGTGCTGTTATGGGGATTTGCCCAAACAAATAATGGCATGAAAAACAAGGCAGCATTTGGGGATGTCTGGAGCAATAACTGCTTCACCCTTTCCCTCCATGTTGGACAGAGTGAGCGGAGCCCCAGCAGTACCTTCCTTGTCCCTCAGCTCTGAACCATGCTGCTCCCCTGCTTGGCTCAGCTAACTGGCTCTGGCTCTGAGCTAGTGTGAAGGTGGGACTTGAGAAACACAGTGACAAGAGGTAGGAAAATCCTTTCTGACCAGGGAGTCTTTCTCCCCTTGAGTGGAAACAACATTTTGGATTGCTCCTGTGGCATTTTTTGGGTAAGGTGTGTGTATGATTGGGATTTTTTTTTTCCAAGAAAAAAAACACCTTCCCAACTCTAGCATTGATGCAGAAACTGTGAAATTTCTGTCAGCAGAGGAATACCTCCTGTCGATACCCGGAGGTGGCCAAGATGCTCAAGTTTGCTCTATACTGTACCTGCAGCTTGCATTTGAATGTCGTAAAGGGCTTCTCCAAAACTATTCTTGAGGATAATCTGGTACAGGTCAGAAACAAATCTCTTGGTGCTGTGGATAAGGACTGGCAATGGTTCTTGTCCTCCCTCTTGTTGATATGCCTTCTTTTTGCCACATCACTGGTGGTGGTCGGGAGCCCTGGCCAAGACAAACGTGCAGCTATAACGTTCTGCTTCCTGACTTGAGTGGCAACAGAAACAAACCATGTCTTTGAGCACAGAAGGGATACCTGTGTCTACAGGAGCCACTTGTACACGATCAGCCTGACAGCAAAATGTTTCAAGGACAACAATCCTAGAGATTTCTTCAAGCTGTAAAGGCAATGGCAGGCTTTGTCCCCAGCAAAGTGCATAGAGCTGGCTTGGCTTGGGAGATGCCACATAAACCTTATGCTACAGTTCATTAGTTTGATCATCTTGAAAGCTGAGGGAAAACAGCTTGTGTGATACAGATAAACTTGTACAATTTAGACTGAGAGATACGTTTTTACACTGGGGCTGATTCTGCAAGGTACTGTAAAGCCTCAGCGCGTGCAGTAGTCTAGACTTAAAAAAAAAAAGGAAAGCAGAGAAATTGCCCTTAGCCTCTACAGAAATGAGCTCAACATCCATGTTAACAGAAATTGTACCTCAGAAAGGACAGTGTTGGGACTTCAAGCATTGTCTTTACAACGTGATCGCTCCCTTAGATCACTCAAGGTTTAATCAGGAACAAGTTCACTTCAGTTAGCATGAACTGTAGTTGCATGCTCGAAAAGTTCTGCTTCTTGTGATGAATCAGAGAGCTTCCCCGATGTTTTATGGTTTGCTCCAGCTGCAGAAGGTTGGATTGTGCAGCTGACAAACTTGCATGCACAGAAGTCCCTCTACCCTTACCACCACAGGGAGGCTTATGAAAAGACTAGCCAGAAAAATAGTGAGCAGTTACGCAGGACTTCATGAACCTAAAGCACTGCATGAGTTTTCTCCAACAGTCAACTTCTTTTAAACCAAAGTGACAGCTCATGTGATAAAGGCCAAAGGACAACTACAGCCTCCAGAGCCCTGCAGCTGTATTTCACCAGATGCCCAAGAAAACTCTAATTGCAGAATTTCTCCTCTGACAGGACACAACACAGAATCTCACAGGCAAAGATGTATGAATGCATGGTGCTGTCCCAGCACAAACCACCATGGGGCTCTTCAGCCTCACAGTCAGATCAAACCTGGGGCGGGGAGGATGAAAAACAGACAGAGAGACAGAAATTAAAAAATTAAAAGAGTGAGAGATTGCACAGAAAAGTAAAGCCATTCTTCAGTCTGTTGAGTCACGCCTGGAAGAAGAAACCTTTGAACTGTTTCAGCAGAAGGCAGTTAGTGTAAGGGCTGCAATGTTGCCAGCTCTTTTCCTAATATCTGTACCACCGGAAGAGAAACATTAATGCCTCAGCAATCAACAGCTTAGTGATGAGCACCTGTTCAGGACAATTTCAGGTGAGGCAGGTGGAACAGGAACATTTAAAAACAGTTCATGTAAAAAGTGAACGAGAACAAAGGAAAAGAAGAGGCAGATTTAATGCCTCATTAGATGATTTTACTGTCCACCTTCTGTCACAAACAATTTTGTATAATGTCTGTTTCTTATAGGACATTCAGTACAGTATTGCCATTCCACACCAGACAAGTTTGTCTGGAGCCTGCGGTCTCTCTGGGATTTTTTGGTGTTTCTGTATTTGGAAACATGGTAACAAAGCCGTGTTGCACGGACTGGTTGTGTAGTTCCAAAGTGGAGACTGAGAAGAGAAACAACTATTTTTTGTACTGGTCACCTGGACGTTGCCTTCTGAGACATCCTCAGCCAAGCCTGAATGTCCTTCTACTCTACAGGAATCAGTGTTATGTAACACGACTCATGAATCACGCGTCTTTTCTTGCTGGCGTTGCTGCTACCGAGGGCAGTCAGCACCATGCTTTGTTATCTGGGAGTATCTTAGACATAAAAAGTCTGAATTTCCTAATTAATAATTAAGCAATCATAAGTTCTAAACAATAAAGATTTAAATACTTTGCTACCTTATATAGTAAGCTAGCTAGGGATTTCATGGCAGGTCATGATACCTTCATTCTCAAGACATAATTAGTGTCTTTGAAGCATGACCTCTGATAATACTATGCCAACTTTAGCATGCTGGCACCTGACTGTTCACCCCATTCAAACCGAGTGCCTGGAAGAATTATAATCCTGTCCCAGTACCACTGTATTTACAACAAACGGGCATTTCAAACATGATGGTTTATTTGCTGTATTACCTACTCTCCTAACCCATACTCAGACTACAGTATCCATGACAGGAATCAGAATATCTTCCAACAGTGACCTCTGTAATCACATGTGAGATGTGATGTGAGAGGTCAGATAGCGGAAGAAACAACTGCCATTATACCTGACATACTTATTCAGGGGACAGCAAGAAGGATAGCAGAACGATTTTAATTTGGCTCAAGGACTTCGCAGCTTGTGCTGTTCATCTCCTCTCGGCACCTCTGAAAACTCAGCAAAAAGAAGCAGAGCTGTGATGTTAAATATTCCTTTGTGCAAGATGGATTTGATAACCCTCTACAAAATGAGGTATATTTTAAAAACACAGGAGAGTAACAGCTGATAGATGGGAGTTCCAGCTGGACAGATACTGCAGGTCTTACCTGAAGGTGGCATTGCTAGAATTCCTTCCTGTAACTCCACTGCTTCTCTCACACCAGCTTCATTCACAGCTCAGGTTCAGAAGTAGTACTTGTCTCTCCTGCAAGCCTCCCACAGTGTAAGTGGTACTAGAGATAGGGATCTTGGTGCATTTTGTCCATTTCTTGGTGTCCTCAGCTCACATCTCTAGAATGTATCCTGACAGCACATCTCCCTGGTCTGACTCCTGCCAGGCTAAGGAAATGCTGGAGTTGGAAAAATCCAGCACCTTCAGCAGCCCTGGAGGTTCTGTGACAGCGGAAGAGCTGTGACACACTACTGTACTTGCAGGCCTATGCTTGCATATGTGAATACAAAGCTGTTCCTATTTCAAGATGCTGAACCTGCAAGGTTTTAGGGTAAAAGGAGCCTTAGTAAACACAGCAAATTCTGTCCAACTAAACAATGCTGTTTCTAAAATGGCACATACACGTAGACCCTGCTCCAAGGTTGGCCATTTAAGAAAAATCATCACAACATTTGACATGGGATCATCTGAATTCAGCTTGGAAAGGGCACCTTCTGTGAGCACTTGACCACCACTCATTCTCCACATGTGTTTGGGAGAGGTGTCTAGCATTAAAGGTTTGCTTCTGTCTATTCCTAGCTGACTAGTGAGCTCTGCAGTACATTTCCTATAACTTGTCTTGTATGGCTTTGAGTGCTTGGTGTCCCTTCTTGTTTAATAAATCCCTCTTACAGTCCTGTGTAAAGTGGACATCTATCTATCTGGACTGCTTGGATTAGTGAATTTGCTTACTGGCTTGCAAGATCCTGTTAATGTTCTTCAAGTTTATTTGCCAAAGGTTACAGTACCCCTAATTAGCAGTCATTTTTGAAAATACAGATCTTTCTTTTTGCTCTTTAGTCCACCTTGCAGCAGTCTAGTTAGATCTCCATAATATGTAAGAAGAGCAAAAGATGGGACATTAAAAAAATATCTGTATGTTTTTAATCAAACGAACACGGAATTGTGTATCCGAATCCATGTTCTGCTCTGAAAGCCTTAGCTAAAATGCAATGACCTCCCCCTGTCGTCCCCAACCCAAAAAAGTCAACAGGGCAGCATGCCATGACAAACTTGATGCTAAGGGCTTTTATACAGAACATTCATATGAGCACACAGGGTCATAAAGAATATGGTGCATATGGACAGTACATATTCTCCTAGGCCTAATGTGAAATAATGCAACTCTTCAAATAGGAGAAGAATCATAGCTTCAGGCTTTAAATTGTTTTTGTGTTGTCTCCTGATGTAAAGGAACCTGAATGCTTTCCCATCTGAGTAACTATTTAACCTCAAGGCTCTCATCTACTACATAGAATTCTGTCATTTTTTAGCTATACTGGCTTCCACACTTGGCCAGGTTTTTTTCTAAATTATGTGCACTTACTAAGGCCGACTCCTGTATCTATTAGAAGATTCCATCAGTTTAAGCTATTTATTGATGGCCTCTGACAGCCTTTTGCTTTTAAAATGCTTTAGTTATATGGTCATATAGAGCAAGAATTCTCTATAACTGGCACAAAATAAAGTTTGCCCATTTCAGCATTTCTGAGGCTACTGTAATGCTTTGGAGTTTGTCTGTGATTTTGATCAGTCCAGAATTAGGCATAGATTCTTTATTACTAAAAACGCAGTATTAAAATAAAAGAATGTAAGCAACTTCCATGAATTCTGCAAGAATTTTCTCTTCTTTTAAAAGGGTTGATGGGGGACTGGTGAAAGGACCATAGCAACATGCATGAGAAATTATTTTCTTTGTCATACATTAGGACCTTTGGCAACCTATACATGAACATTAAGCACTAAAGGTATCTACACCTTAGAGCACCTTTATCATGTTGATCTCTGCTGTTTGCATATAGTCAGTTCCCTCCAGGTGGGAATCTCTTACTGTGTCCTTATCTTAACAGTTACACATTTTAAGTGAATAACATCACACTTTCAGGCACTTAGAATATAATTACGTTTATAGCCAACAGTATTAAGGCCTTCCTTAATCTTTAGTTAAGCTGTAAACTCAATGCAGTCCCTTACATTGAGCCATACTGGAATTTGCCACATTCCCTCAGCCTTCAGTCACAAATGCATAGATCTGATCATCACATATATGTTTAGGAAAACTAGATATTAAACAGTGAAAGAAACATACTGATGGGATCCTTTGCAACGAGAGGTTGAGGGCATGCTGAGAAGTCCAGGGCCTGCACGGTTCACAGCTATCACATGGAACTCATTCTGTATCCTCCAGAAAACAATCCACTTTGAATCTGGTACCTAGAGGCACACGTTGCAATTGCACAACTCTCTAATCACCCATAAAAGTGTTCCCAAGTGGTCACTAATTTTTTTTTTAATTGCTTTTGGATTGAGATAAACCAAGAAGAAATTTCAGCTCACAGACTGTTGGAGAACAATATAAATTTCAGGGGTTCAGGGAGGCCCTTACTACGTCTAACCTTCACTTCTCTAGTGGTCTTCTCTATTTTCATCTCTCTCTCCCTAAGGAGAAGATAGAATTTTGATGCATATAATAAGAGGAAAAATGCATAATTTGCCTTCCTTTAGATTATGGTCTTTAGCCTGGTATAAACATACATGCTGGGGAAAAATATCTTCATGTCTTGCTCCACTGACTTCAGTGGGATTGCCAATAGTGTAACGAACTCAATAGAGTGGCCAAGCCTTTCACAATCTCGCCTTCGAGCAAGGTTAAACCTCCATTCAATTTTGAAAAAAACCTCAGTAATTGAATAATTTGCCTTAAAAAGTGTTTCCATTATCTACCATGAGTAATAATGGTGCTTTAAGGAGGATATTTTTGGATAGTGTGATGGATTGTAACTTAATTACTATGAAAGTCCAACATTTCGAATGAGACAGAGGAAAGAATCCAAGAAAGAACCAAAATATTAACAGAAAAGGAAAAGCAAAAGTCTCGTTAGTCAGATGCTGCTGGTGATAGGAACACTCCCATGTGTTATACAAGCTGTGCTAAGCATGGATCATATGGTTGCTATCTGATGGATACAACAAAATCAGTCACTTGTTTAATTCAGTTCTGGTCTAAGTTAGGGAAAAGCAGTCAGATTTAGGTAGGGAGACATGTAAAATATAAATGCTTGAAATTAGGCACCCAAATCCATAGGTGTGACTTTCAGAGGTGCTGAGTGTTCTGCCCTCTTATCGTTGGTTGTGGGTATCAAGCCATTTCTACTTGAGGGCTGAAAATCTTGCTTTGAACAGCGTATGTCAAAATGTGTATCTTGCTAGACGCCATGATGACATTTTCCTTGATTAATCAATACTCAGCTTTACATTCAAAGCTTATCTAACTTTCTTTTTGCCTACTAAAAACAGATAATAATCTTGGTCTGACCTTGGACTGGCTCCTTGGTGTTCAAGACACAAAGATTGCTGCCTTTCTTCCTTTCTTCTATGACGTAACTTTGCACTGTGGAGCCTCCGTCTTGGGCTGGGAAGTTCCAGGTAATGGTGACATCTTCCTTCCTGACATCTACAACTTGAGGCTGAGACCTGTCTCAGAGGTTCTGCACAGAAGAAAATCAAATTAGCACAGTACAATCAGAATTCATTGACTCCAAATTTTGTGTATGTGCTATGTGTGTGTGTATAAATACATACGTATGTATGTACAACAAGAAGTCAAGGAGGGTAACTTGTATATTAAGGTTTATTCATGGTCACAACCTTTTTCTAAAGACTCTTTCTTTGCAGTCTAATTCCCTTTGTCATTTCAAATGTTGAAACATTTCAATTCTTGCACTTATTCCGAAAATGAGCTCTTTCTGCAATGCATTACAGAGCAGCTCAGAAATGCCTTCCCTAATCCATAGGAAGTTTGGACAAAAATGCAAAGTTTTAGGTGAGAACTCATATGTGTTACTTCATTTTGGTAATTTTCTTTCTGAAATGTTTCAATAGGCCAGACTCCTTGTTTGCACTGTATCTTCTGTGATACATTCTGGTCTTGGGGAAAGGGCACTGCAAATCCCCTTTCACTGGGGATTCCAGTCCATAAAGGAAAAATGGGAACAAGAAGTACCCAAACTGTAACTCCCAGAAGATAGTTCAGCAGTGCTTTGTAACCAAGTTAGTTTCTGGCTGACATATTTTCTTTTTTGGCTGCAAAACAAAATGTTTTTAAGCATTCCCTTTTAAATTATCTTCCCTCCTCCCCCACAATATTTTCCAGAGAAAGCCACTTTTCATTTCTGTCGTATCCCACTAAGCTTGCATAACTGACACTAGAACAGTGTGTTAGTCAGTCCTCTCTTGTGGCCAGCCCATGTTGAGGGGTTTCTGAGTCCTCAAACACTTGCAGTGAAAAGATGTGGGTATTTGTTTGATCCTGGCTATCAGCCTACGCACAAAGCAGCTTCTAAGCTCTGTCCCTGGAACTTGTCCCCTGAAGCCCAGGGGACAGTGTTCTTTTGGAGACTGGCAAGGAGGAAGAGGATAAAAACGATGGGAAGCCGGACTGTGAAACCACATTAAAAACAGCTGGCTAATAGGCTCTCCAGCAAAAATGTCTTCTGTTTCCAGGGGCTTGATGAGGCCTTCAGAGTTGATGGCACATATTCTGAATTAGTAGGCTTTCCCTTCCTCCACCTTCTCTGTAGCAAATGTGGTGTCGTTGCTCTCCACCACTCCTACTTTGATCCACAATTTCTTCTCCAGCCATCCTCTTCTTGATGACGAAGTGACTCACCTGCTTTCCTCCATTGCCTTTGGGTGCTTTCCATCTCATTTTGTATTTTCCTCATGTGTTACAGGAACTCTGCTTTCCCCTGGGGGGGTTTTGGTTTGTCTGCAGTGTTAGCAGCTGACCAGAGTGGCAGAGGGCTGCTATTCAGACGGTCATATCCTGTCACAGTATAAATCAGTGTAAATTACAGCAAAACTAAACTCTCTTGAATCACTTGATTTGATAACTCAGAGTCTGCCCCACTGCAAGATTTTTAAAAAGAAAGTCTGAATTTTGGTGTCTGTAACCCAACATATCTACCAGTGACTGTCCTGCTATCCTGCTACAAAATGATTAATTTAGGACCTACTAACAAAGTTGAGGTAAGGATTGTCAGGAGCCAAGCCACAGTCATTTTTCAGATTCAGCATAATGGCTTCACTGTCTTCACTTACACAGGTTTTGATTGTGAGTAACGCAGTCACTGGCTTTCTCCATCACCACTTTCTCTTCCTCTGTCACCTCAATGCCATCTTTGAACCAGGTGACTTTGGGCATTGGCTTTGCCTTGAAAGGCACCTTGATGCTTGGTCTTCACAGTAAGGCTGTGTGCAGCAAAAAGCTTGAGTACAGATTCTTCGATAACAGGAGAATCTGGAAAGAAAAGACAACATCTGAAAGCTGCAGCTGCAAATATAGCTTGACATCTTTCCTGTGTCTGCAAGTTCCCAGAAAAGGTGGTCCAAAGCTGGGCCCTTCATACACTCCATGTTTTTAATTTAAGAATCCTGTGTTTTGTGAAAGTCTTTGGGGACACTCAAAATCTTCAGTGTGTTTTGATTCAGTTAATTTAGTTCTGTTTCTTGTACGGGGAGCTGGCTGACCTCCTTTAGTTGTTCAGCTCAGTAGAAAAAGAGGGACCTCTGGGAAATAGCAAGCCCCAAAGCTCCTCACTTCCCTAGGGCCTGGAGATTTGATTCCAGGCAGTTTCTAAGTTTTGCAAGGCACAAGAAGCAGCCCTTTGTACTGTTCTTCCCTAAGGCCACACTGGGATATTTATGATCATGATAAAGATAGTAGAATCAAAGTTAGGTACTGCCTGTAAAGAAAACGCTCCCTTATTTGTTACAAAGTAATATGGGAAAATGATAAGGATGTCCCACACACAATAAAGACAAATAACCAGGTTCCTAAATATATTTGGTGTTTTTCCTTTTATTTTTGTCACACAATGTGTATGTTTAGAAATTACAATCTTCTGCTGAAAGTCATAAAAAGGCATTCAAAAATATTTTTGAATGAAGGGAAGTCAACACTCCCTATACCAAAGCTTTGCTGTGGATGTGTTTTTTACTGCAACACAGGTATGATAAATATTTGCTGCTACAGCCACAGCATCCTTACTGCTGCATTTGTCCCGCTGTCCATGCAGCAGTATCTATCCAGCTTGCCTTGATTCAGCAGACGGAAAGAGGCTTATTTCCATGCTGCAGACGAGTCTGAAAGTCCATCTGGCGCCATCTGGCTGCCAAGAGCTGAGTAATACCCGTATTTATATATTTCTATATATAATTTCAGAAAAGGTGTTTTTCTTGTTGCTCATGACAACAACGTTTGAAGTAAAGGCTCAGGCCAAAAATCTTGATCACCGATTTATAAACACAGAAACCTATGCTTAGTCACTTAAAATCAACCAGTACGACTGTTCAATTTTCTCCCTCAGGGAACAAAGAAGCAGAAAGAAGAGCTTTTGCTCATGCACATAGATAAGCCTGTAAAATGGTACAGGCCCAGGTAAGGAGACGTGGTGAAGCACTGATTCTGCAAGTGTTTGTGTACGCCTGGTAAAGAGCAGTAAGGAGATGGAGTGGCTACCTCCAATGGCAACTGTTGCTCCACTCTCTGCCCCCTGGGCTTTGAACATGTACCTCCCTTCAACGCTCCTCTCCCATTCTGTCAATGATGAATTTGTGGATGGCTCCCTGCTTCACTATCCAGATCTTTTTCATGTGCGTAATCTGACATGAAGATTGAGGCACTAAACAACCCACATTGCAACAAACACCATCTCCAGCCCTGCCCCTGAATCCTCTGATCAGTTTCCTGCTCTAAGATGACTAAAAAGCTCTGTGATCTATGGACGAAATGAATTCAGTGTTACGTGGACAGAGTGATCTGTGCATTTGCGTAGATCAGCCATATGGCATGTAATGAAGTGCGTGCATTAGCATGCAAAGGATACATTTACTGATTACTCTGAAAATCTGAGACTGGGAGAAGGGTGGGTGGTGAGAAGCCAACCTTGTGGGAAAGAATGCGAGTCTACAGGCTGAGAAAATGGGTTAGCAAATGTGAAAGCATCTTTACAGGAGACTGGGAAGGAAAATTTTGAAAAAGCCAAGATTCAAAGCCAAAACTTAGTAAGACTGAGGCTGTAGTACACTGGGAAAGATTAGATCTGTTCTTGTCTGATCTGTCCCTCTGTTCGTCCTTAGCCAAAAGCCCTTTATCAAATGAGGCCAAATCCCACAGTAGCTCTTTGGAGAAAACTTCCCACTAGCGTTTTGCAGCCTTTCATTACACTGACAATACCATGGGCATTTTACCTATTTGCCGTCATTAAGCCATATTCCTTCCACCTTTGTGCCACTCAGGACAACACAGAGCTTGGCAGGATCCCCATTAAAGCACAAATGTCACACCCATGTTCTTCATGGTTGCAAATGTCTCTGGAAGAAGTCCTGGTGGAAGCATGTGAACAGAAAAACTGTGCAGAATGATTGTTGACTGAGCACCTCAAACACCAAGGAGATATTTAATGGCAGGAAGACCTCGTAACAAAATGGACAGGCCCTCAGGATGAAAGTCGTTTAGTGAATTGGACATCATGGGAACAAAGGGGGATGGAGAAAGGCTGTTCCTAAGCAGTTTTTGCCCTTCTTTATGGGTGTTCAGTGGAGGGAATGTAGCTATAGGAACCCGAAAGCTGAAGCAGAACACAGCCTCTTAGCACTGGTCCAGACCCTTAGCTGGTCCAGAGTTGCCCTCAAACCAGCCAAACACTTCCTCTATTGCCTACATAATATTTGTATCTGAACCTGAACTCCAAATGGGGAAAGATGAATCTGTAACTAAGGCACCAGCCTGCAATTCCAGTGCGCACAGGAGTCAAGAGGCAACTCAGCCATGACTTTCCAGGTTACCTGTGCCACAGAAGTGGTTTCTGTCCCAGAGGAGTGGTCAGAGAAGGCCCCTGCCCCACACTGTCCCTTCAGGCCACCATCGCCATGGCCCACAGAGGGCACTCGCATACCAGGCCTGGTACCCATCCTCCAGGAGCCAGGGCTTCCTTGCCCACCTTCAGCCACACTCAACCCTAGCCACAGACTCCTTGCCAGGCTGCTCACCTGGACAGCCCAGGGCTGGGGATGCCATTGGGAAACCGCTCCCTTCTGGCCTGTTTTGGGAAAACAAAATGAGAAATACATGGCCAAAATGCAACTAATGGAGTTCCACCCAAGTCCATACACCAGGACAGGATTTGTGGGGCATGATCTGACACAGAAAACACAGGACTATTAGGAAGAGACCAGCCTCACAGAGACATCTGTCAGGGATGGGCACTAGGGCAGGTCAGTCTTCCATGTGAGAAAATCTGCTTGACCTCACAGCCGAGCTTCTTTTGGCCCCTGAAGTTTCCTTCATAGCATCCTACCAACTGAATATTCAGTTGTTCCTGAACCTGTGAAGGATACACTAATATACTTTTATCCTCCTTCCATTCTGTTCATTTTAAAATCGTCTTAAAATGCTGCACTTTTCATGGAAAGCACCTGGACATAGTTCAAAGCTGGTCCACATCTAACAGAAATCATCTCAAATACTAACAGCCACTAAAATCCACACCCTAACTTTGAAATTCTTCTCCAGCCTATGCTGAGAGCATGAAGCTAAGCTTTCCAACTTTTTTCCCCCGCTCTTAACAGCCTTGTGTCTTTCTATAAAGATCATAGACTTAAGTTTACAGCATCAGTGATACTACTGCAAAATTAATTCACAAAACAAATGTGATATTAAATATTTACCAGCCTCATGTTGTGCTGCTGGTCCTCAGCAGACTGCAGTCAAATGTCCCATGGGTCACTTTAAAGAATCAAGATAAGAATTTGTCAGGACAACCCTGATTAAAATAAAAAACACGGAACACTTTACTAGGCTGGTTTAGGTGACGTGCAAGGACTTAAATGGAAGATTTACTGCTTTATGCTTCTACTGCTTTCTACAGCAAAGGGAAGTCCTTAATTATTATCTGCATGCTACCAAGAGGGGGCACAGACTAACGGCTTATTCCATGTTAAACAACAAATAGACTGCAGAGCAGTGTTAACTCACATCAGTTTCCTAGCTGTTATAGCAAAGCAGCACTGCTCTTCCGCAGAGTACACCGAAGAACACTGTAAAGACTACTATTCCTTCTCCTCTTCCTCTCTTTCGAGCCATTCACGCTTACCTTCCAGTTACACTGGCACTGCTGTACTGCTCATTAGCATCACTGTCTTGCACAGCCTTACGATCGCTGTGCCATCTCCTGAGTCACTCAGCTCAGCAGCATTAATTGATAAGCTCTGCTCTCTTCCCTTCATGCTTCATGATGTACTGAGGAGACCTCTCAGTCACTTGTCTATTCTACATCCCCTTCAGGGTGACACGTTCAGAAGTCAGCACACACTCCAGGCAGGCTTTTCCCTTCTTTTTCACTTGGGTGTTCTTGGGATTGCTGATGAACTGAATTGGAATCCCTGGGGAAGGGGTTGGCAAGAAAAAATGGCACATACCAGCAAGCACCTTATAAATAAAAACAGGTGGCTTTGTCTTTGCAGGATTTGACATGGGCTCCTGTGCAGGAGAGATTCCAGGCTTGGGACTTAAATTCCAGTGTGAAAATGAGGTCTTGATGCTCCTCTGCTTGCCTGTTCACAGACTAGCTTTATGAGGCTGCGGCTTCCATTCTTTTTAGCCCAAGCTCTGGGGCTTTGTATTTTAGCTTTATGGATTTTGCAGCTCAAACCCTGCTATCTTGTGTTTGATCCACCCACTGCCCAAAGATGCTTACCTTGCATTACTTATGATCAATGAAGAGTGGAGTGTTCTGCACTAGATCTCCAGTCTCAACACTGAGTTCTTTAAAGTCACTGGACAGAACACCCTCAGTTTTCATAGTGTGGGCCAATCCATCATCAGATGTGATGATTTCGTACTTATCATCCCACTTCAACTCTTT